AAGTTGCAACATATATAGGTTAAAACTAATTGCAACATTAAAAGTTGCAACATATTAATTACAGTTCCCATCTTTAGTCATAGACTAGAGAAAACCTCAGCATCTACAAAGAGGTAAGAAAATTTTTTTTTAAATAATTTTATTTTTTTTTTTAAAGAAAAAAGATAAACTTATCTAATATAATTAATCCAGAATTCCAAACTTCGGCATCTTCAAAGAGATAAGAAACATCAATAAATATTTTTACCATTTTTTTAAAAGAAAAAAAATAACAACTTACCTTCATCCTTCAATCCAGAATTCTCAGATTTCCAGAAGGATTTCGGTATCTACAAAGAGAGGTAAGCATACTTTTTTAAATAATTTTATTTTTTTTTTTAAAGCAGATAAACTTACTTTATAACTTACCTCCAATCCATCATTCAATTCAGGAAAGATTCAATTTCTGGGGGAACTTCAGCATCTACTAAAAAGGTAAGTAAAAAATTAGTAAATTTTTTTTAAAAAACGATGAAAAACTCACCTTACATAATCCAAGATTCAGGAGAGGCCTCATCTAGAATATCCAGGATTTGTTAGGGAATAGACCCAGAGAAAGCAAAGGAAAGTTTTAAGAAGTCGTTGAAACTTATGAAGTATTATCCAATCCCAAAAAAAAAGAAAATTATAACAATTGCCTAAAACGAAGGATAGAATGATACAGTTCCAATAATAGTAGTAGTGGTCTTAATTCCAGCAATTATGATAGAGCAGTGATGGGTTTTGGACACGTTTTTTAGTTTTGGACAAGATTTTGGACATATGAAATTGTGTCCAAAACCTGTCCAAAACTACCTAAAATTGTCTAATTTCCTAACATTGTGATAGAGCATACAATGAATTTTATGACAAAGGATGTCGCATTAATGAAATTTTTTATAGTATATATAATTCTCATCCGATTGCGTATTCTATACTTAACAACAGCCAACACGCAGGTTAAGTTGAGAGTTTGTGAGAAATTGAATTGTCAGAAATAGAAAATTATAAAATCAATTATTAAATTTCATTAATGATTTCGTTAAAGGTAATGAAGAAAAAAATAATCAAAAACCAGAAAAGCAATTTCGAGATGGAAGAGAGGATTTTAAAGATTCTCCTTATCCGAGCGACAAAAATTCTCCTAGTTGGGATCAAATTACCTAATTAAAAAAGATATTGAATTAATGAAAAAATGACTTTCTGACCCAAAACTCACAGAAAAGGAAAAAGTAGAAGTCAAAGAAAAATTGAGTAGATTCAAAAAGAGTTGAAGTTGTTGAAAAACCAATCAAATAATCAAAACCGTTAATAATGCCAAAGAAAAATTAAATCAAGCCAAAATTAGTAATGACAAGAAGGAACTGGTAAATGCTCTTAAAGAAACTCAAAATACTACTCAAAACAGTTCTGATGAAGACTTAAAAAAACAGAAAGAGCAAATCGAGAATAGATTAGGTCAAGTTGACCAAGAAAAATTAAGAAGGATTATTAAAGAAGAAGTAGCCAAAGAATTACAAAAATTCGGAATAAGAAACGATGTTTAAGTTCAGAAAATAAACAAAAGTTAACTGAACTTAATAATAGCCAGTTAAAACCCGAGAAGGTCAAAAACATTCATACTGAAGTTTTAAATAAGGCAGGAGTGATAACTTTAGAGAAATTAATTGCTGAAGTCCAGCAAACCATAAAATTAAATAACCAAAAATCAATAAAATCTAAGGTTAAAAAATTAAAAATCTTTGTCGAAAACACCGCTAATGAATATGCTCAAAATGCTTATCAGCAAAAAAAAGAGGTAGTTCAAAAATTGTTGAAAAAAGCCAAAGGCATTTTTAATATTAGTTAAAACCCAAAAACATCTGATAATAAATTTCTAACTGGTTTAGTGATTGGAGGTAAAATATTAGCAGTAATCAGATTAACAACCATCTTGATAATAAAAAACTACAAAAAAAAAAAAAATAAATAATAAAAAATTACATGTCTGTTCATATTACATTGAGAAAAAATGAGTATAGTGTTTAAAAATTATTGTTAGACATAATGCTTTTATTCTTTTCTCATTTTTTTTTAAAAAACTTATTTATGAATAAAGAATCAAATTTAAATGATAAAGAGTTTACTAAATCCACCAAGGCAATTGACAATAATTTTGTGCGGCATCTAAAAATGGGTAAGAAAATTTTTTTATTTTAAATAATTTTATTTTTTTTTTAAAGAAAAAAGATAAACTTACCTTATATAATTAACCAGGATTCTAAACTTCAGCACCTACAAAGAAAGGTAAGAAAATTCAATAAATTTATTGTACCATTAAAACAAATAACAACTTACCTTCACCTTTCAATCCAGAATTCTTAGATTTCCAGAAGGACTTCGGTATCTACAAAAAGAGGTAAGCATTTTTTTTTAAATAATTTTATTTTTTTTTAAAAGCAGATAAACTTACTTTATAACTTCCAATTCATCATTCAATTCAGGAAGGATTCCATTTCTAGGGGGACTTCAGCATCTACTAAGAAGATAAGTAAAAAATTAGTAAATTTTTTTTAAAAACAATGAAAAACACCTTACATAATCCAAGATTTAGAGAGACTTCAGCATCTATAAACGGGTAAGAAAATTTTTTTTTTTAAATAATTTTATTTTTTTTTTAAAGAAAAAAGATAAACTTACCTTATATAATTAACTAGGATTCTAAACTTCGGCACCTACAAAGAAAGGTAAGAAAATTCAATAAATTTATTTTACCATTAAAACAAATAACAACTTACCTTCACATTCAATCCAGAATTCTCAGATTTACAGAAGGACTTCAGTATCTACAAAAGAGGTAAGCATTTTTTTTAAATAATTTTATTTTTTTTTAAAAGCAGATAAACTTACTTTATAACTTCCAATTCATCATTCAATTCAAGAAGGATTCCATTTCTAGGGGGACTTCAGCATCTATTAAAAAGGTAAGTAAAAAATTAGTAAATTTTTTTTAAAAACAATGAAAAACACCTTACATAATCCAAGATTTAGAAGAGACTTCAGCATCTATAAACGGGTAAGAAAATTTTTTTTTTAAATAATTTTTTTTTTTTTAAAGAAAAAAAATAAACTTACCTTATATAATTAACCAGGATTCTAAACTTCAGCACCTATAAAGAAAGGTAAAAAAATTCAATAAATTTATTTTACCATTTTTTTAAAAGAAAAACAAATAATAACTTACCTTCATCTTTCAATATAGAATTCTCAGATTCCCAGAAGGATTTCGGTATCTACAAAGAGAGGTAAGTATTTTTTTTTTTTTTAAATAATTTTATTTTTTTTTAAAAAAAAAATGAAAACTCACCTTACATAATCTGGAATTCAGGAGAGATCTCAAAGACCTTAGTATCTACAAAGAGGTAAAAAAATTTTTATTTTAAATAATTTTATTTTTTTTTAAAGAAAAAAGATAAACTTATCATATTTAATCCAGGATTCCAACTTCGACATCTACAAAAAAGGTAAGAAATCAATAAATATTTTACTTATTTTTTTAAAAGAAATATTAACAACTTATTTATCTTTCAATTTAGGATTCCAGGATTCTGGAAAAGACTTTGGTATCTACAAAAGGTAAGAAATAATTAATGATTTTATTTTTTTAATATTTTTTTTTTTTTTAAAAATCTTAACTCACCTCTGATCTATCAATAATGATTCTATGACTTCAACATTTACAATAAGAGGTAAGTAAAAATTATTTACAGTCGACCCTCTCTACAATCACACCCTTCGGGATCGCCTTATAGTGTGATTGTATAGAGGTGTGCTTATACAGTCTGGTGCAAAAGTCTTTGGACGATCAGCGATAAAATTAAAAGTCACATAGATCAGCCAATTTAAATCCA